ATTTCAATGCAAGATGATAAAATCACAATTATTCCAATGCAAACTAGCTCACCTACTATGTGTTACTGAAAAAAAATAACAAATAAGACAATAGAATCATGTTAATTCCAATGAAATACAAACTAACCAAATTATATATTTTGTATTACCAGAATAACAAATATAGTAAATAAATTTTATAAATATAAAAATATAGCTTATAGCCAGTTACATGACTCTAGTTTTAAAAAACTATTAAAAAACTCAAATTTTTTCTAATAACAAAAAATTTAATAAATTTTGATAAATTTTGATTTAAATTTAATAATTAGATAAATTTTTAAAGTAATTAATAATTTAGTATTTAAATTTTGCATTATATAATATATGTTTTAGGCCGTTTTTAAGCATCTAAATCAATTGATTAAAGAAGGATTGTGATGATGCTCAAGCATCACAATTAATAGAATTAAATACTCTTTTTCTATTTTTCTTAATCTTTGCTATGCTGCCTAAAATGTCTAAAAAAATCTAATAAAAAAACTTCGGTTCAACTGACTAGCTTCGGTTACATTGGCTTCCCCCTTTAATGATTTTATCAATATTAACTCCAGCTGTATTAGGAGTAGCATTTACAGGATAGATACTAGATATTACAAATAGAAATTGAAATATTGTTTGGATTTTGGTCACTATTTTTTATTCTATTGGTTTTATATTTTTTGTTAGTTGGGTTGGTCATAAAGTTATAATTGAATAAAAGTTTTTTTTTTATTATTATTTAATGTTAAAAATTATTTATAATGTATAATACAATATATAACATAATGATTAATTTTTTAATTTTGATTACTATATTTCGGTTAATCACTAACATCATTTCTCTTTATATGAAATTATTAGTGAAAGTTGCTTTGCAGCAACAAAAAGTAAAAAAAAAAAATTTATTAAGCGAAAAATGGAATAGCAGTATTCATTACCATTTGGTTAAATATTAAAAGATGGGTTGTATTTACTATATTCATATCAAGGTGTCGATTATTTGTTTTAAAAGCTTCGAGTATTAAAAATAAAGTGGCTATTTTTTTAGACTGGTTTGAAATTTGTTGTGAAATTTGTTGTGAATTCATTGTTTATTATGTTTAATATGTTAAAATGTAAAGTAGTGCTTGAGTGATCTTTATTAATAGTAAATTTTTGGAGAAAAAATCACTTGATTGATTTATTTAATTTTTGACTAATTAAAAATTTATGTCTAATCCATTGTAGAAGATAAAAAAAGATAAGCAAATTAAATATTTTTTTGAATAATGCAGGCCAGAATTGTGAAATTTCAAAATATGGGTCTTGACTTGCATTAAACTTTAAAATTTTACGGGTTTCTGATAGATCGACACCTTAATCATAGGGTAAATAAATAGTAATTATGATAATCATTTTTTTTGTTTCAATTTTAAGATTTTTTGAAAAAAAATTTCTTCATACAATTTCTTCGTGTTTATTTTTTCTTTTAGATATTTCTTTTAAGTCATCATAGGTAGTGTTTCAAATTGTTAAAATTTTACCAACTAGTTAGTTGCCAACTATAGTTGGCAACTAACCAGTTATATATATCACATGATATTTTAGATATTAGCCAATCAAATCCAAGAAATCATTCTAAATTATCCCAAATAAGTGGAATATTTTGGAATTGTATTAATTGAATGATTAGTTGTTTAGTTGTTTAAAAATTTTTCAAATTGATTAGTTGAAAAGTTGTCAACTAGTTGGTTTTTCAACTAATAATTTGGAACACTAATCATAGGTGTTGTTAGTGCTTTTTGGTCATCACTAGTGTCATCAACATTGGTCATCGCTGGTGTCATCACTGATGTCATTACTGGTGCCTTTTGAGTCATCATTGTTTATAGTGTATTCTTTTTAATAAGCCAGCATGGCTATTTCGTTGGTGTTGTCTAATTTTGTTTGGCAGTTTCATTGTTTGCTGTTTATTGGTGTAGTTATTCATCAATTACTGGCATTGTCACATATTCGTCTTCGGCTTTGCTGGTATTTTAGTACGTATACAAATCTTTATATGTATTACTAATACTCTTTTTTTTTTTTTTACAAAAGTATTCTTGCCGTTGGTGTTGTTGTTATTAGCATGATGTCGTTTTTGGAGTAGTGAATTTCTTTACCATTGGTGTTATCATTATTGGAGTTGCAAAATACTATTGTCAGTTTTGTTGGTTTTTTTATTTTGCTCTTGTTGGCACTTTCATCATTTGTTGGTGTTTGTTTTTTAGTAGTGTAGCTATTCATGTTATCATGTCGTCACTTTTGACTTTGCTGGCTTTTTTTTTTTACAAAAGTACTCTTGCTGTTGGTGTCATTGTTATTAGTATGATGTATATTTTTATTGTGTTGTCATCATTGGAGCTGTGAAATACTATTGTCAGTGTTGTTAAGTGCTTTTACTTCCTCTTGTTAGCACTTTCATTCTTTGTTAATATTTGTTTTTTATTGGTATAGTTATTCATGTCATTTTGCTAGTGTTGTCGCTTATTCATCTTCGACTTTGCTGGTGTTGTTATGTTTTGGGTATTTTAAATACATATACTTCTATTTCAGTTTGCTTTTTTCTTTTGTATGAATTTTGTACACATTACTAATACTCTTTCTTTTATGAAAATACCTTTGCCATTGGTGTTGTCATTATTGGTGTAGTGTTTGTTATTGGAGTGGTAAATATCTTCATCATTGATGTTGTTGTTATTGAAGTTGTGAAATACTATTGTTGGTGTTGTTGGTGTTTTTGTTTCACTTTTATTGGCAGTTTTATTATTTGTTTTTTTATTGGTATAGTATTCATATTGTTTTGCTAGTGTTGTGCCATCACTTATTTGTTTTTAACTTTGCTGGTATTATACTTTGGGTGTGGTGTATATTTTTGTTACTAGTATTATTATTATTGAAGTGTAAAATACTTATAGTATTAGTTAGAGCTAGGGTAGTTTTGGTAGTTTTTAGATAGTTAGAGTTAGTTAGTATTAGTAGTATAATATAATTGTTGGGTTGATATCTAGTATAGGTGGAAATATATAAATATTATAAGATTATTTAATATAAAATATTTATTTAAACTAATCTAAACAGATTTGAGAATAGTTAGGGTTAGGGTGAGAGTTATAGTATAGTTTATAGTTAGCTTCAGATTAGGGTTAGAGTTTTTTTATATTAAATAATCTTATATATTTATATATTTCCACTTATACTAAATAAGATCCTAATTGTTGTATATTATATATATTATGTAATAAATATATACAGTCAACCCTCTCTAAATGCAATTCGCGTAGACTATATAGAAATTTTAAAAAAGCTTGCATTTATGGAGGTATTGTATTTAGGAAGGTAAAAATCTATAAGTGTATATGTAATAGAAACACAGCAAGGCCGTGCATTTATAGAGGTTTTTCATAGAACGTGCATTTAGGGAGGTTGTATTTATGGAGGTTTGACTGTAATTATCTAGTTATTGACTATATATAGTTATAGTTATATATATATATATTTCTATTTTTAAAATATTATCCCTTAAACTGTAGAGCAATTCCAGACAAATTTGCCTAGAAAATTACTATAAATTTGCTTATGATCTACTTTTTTAAAATTTTAAAATACTTTACTGAAACTATAAAAAAATAAAAAATATTATTATTATATATTTATTATGTATTTATTATGTTTTAAAAAACATAATAATTACTAGTGATAATTTAATAATAATAATATAAACAATATATATTATAACTATTTTAATAATATTATTAAAAATGTTTTAAAACCATTTTTAAACTATATTTATAAAAAAAATTTATTTGTAATAGCCTGTTAATATTAGGTTTAGGGTTAATGTTAATGCTAGGGTTAGTGTTAAATTAGGTTTAATATTTATATTAAGATTAATACAAAATCATGAGAGGATCATTTTTCATTAGTATATCTAAAGCAAGTTTATTAGTAAAATTTTGTATTATAAAGGATTTTAGGTATAGGCTGTTATGCAACAGGCTGTTACAAATAAATTTATCCTTTTAATAATATTAAAATAATATTTTAAAAACATTTTTAAAAAGCTTATTTTAAATTATTATTAAATATAATAATAATGTTTTTATAATATTTTTAATAATATTGAAATAATGTTTTAAAAACATTTTTAAAAAGCTTATTTTAAATTGGTATTAAATATAATAATAATGTTTTTATAATATTTTTAATAATACTGAAATAATGTTTTAAAAACATTTTTAAAAAGCTTATTTTAAATTGATATTAAAATATAATAATAATGTTTTTATAATATTTTTAAAGACGAATCTATTTGTAACAGCCTATTACATATTTATTTGTAACAGCCCCCGGAAAACAAGACCGGAAATAGGTCCGGAAATAAAATAATTACATACCAAAAATTGGATTAAATACTTAACTCTTGTATATATACATACAAATTATCTTTTGTATATACCATATACTATATAGCAATTTATTTACAACTTTTTAAAAGATATATTTTTTCGAATAAATCATACAGTATATAAATTGTAATGTTATTTATTCCAATTTTTCGGTACTTTTTAGAAGCCACAACTATTTCATATAAAAAATATAAGTTTAGTTCGGGCTTTCACAACACGTAATTTTTTGGAGTCAAAAAATAATTGGATATTCACACCTAAGCAAATATGCCTGCTAATACTTCTTAATATATTGGGCATCTAAATATATATGTATAATAGTATACGTACGTACGTAATTTATTAAACTGTATATAACCTTACATGTGTAATACAGACATCAAAAAAGGTTATATTACTTGCACAAATATGTAAAGCAATAAGGCCTATGACACAGATTACATACTAAATAGTCAAATCGGCTGTAAAATTAATTCCCCTAATTGGAAATAAATTCCAGTTAGATACCGATACTCTTTAGTAAAAATTTAAAAAGCGATAAAAATTACTTGCCTAGTGATTTTGGCACCTCGCTATATTATGCCCTGATTGACCGCACGTACTACAAGTATATTTTGATTGTGGCTTTTGTTTTTTTTCAGTTGCTGACTTGTAACATTTAGTTGCCAAATGTCCTTTGTGTCGAGATACTAATAGATTTTTAACTTGATTAAATTCATTTTCTTTATCAACATCATACTTTTCATTTTCTTGATTATGCTTTTTTGTAAGTATAGTCGTTGTTTCTTGCTATCGGTCAATAAATTGTCGTAGCCATATTACCATCTCCTGATAATTGTTTTTTCAATGGAAAGTTGAGCAGCCTGTTGGGCAAGTCCCCAAATTTCACTATATTTAAGCTTTTTTGTGCTGCATAGTGCAAATCAACACTAACTATTTTATGTACAGTTGAAGGATTTGGACCCAAAATTTCATTTGCATTAAATCGATTTTTCACCAACTCATGATTTGTAAAATAGCAAACCTCTATAGTGATATTATTGGTTTTTTGCTCATTAGTATACCATCGTGTAGATATTATTTGGATGTGAAACCCTGCGATTCTTGAGTACATCATTACTCTAAAGTAATGGTGGCAAACAATGCCTCTGGATATATTAGACATGCAAGAACAAAGATATGAAATAGAATTGATCACCACTACAAAATATATATCTCTCTTATTTTCAGATCATATATCTGTAATCTTCCATATTTCTTGGATATTTTTTTTATCAACTTCTTCAATTATTGATTTCAACAAAATTTTTTTGGCATTATAAATATCTTCAACAAATCCGTTAGCTATATCAAAGTCAAAATTTTTATATAATAAAAATATTAGATTAGATTAAATTAGATTATATTTAAAATTAGCCAAGACATTACATTAGATTCATTTGCCTCATTATAGATTCTGATATCTAATTTCATTTTACTTGCAGTAAAATAAAGACATTATGCAATTTCTAAGCGTTCTGCTGATAGTATATGAGGGGTAAAGTATTTATTCATTAATTTGTCAATTTTGGGAAAGAGATCATGTCTAGCCAATGTAATTCCCATGCAAGATAAGACAGTATGATATTCAAAAAAGTGATTTCATTGTGCTTCGTCTTGAAGTCTCTCTTCTAGTGTACTAGCAAGATCATATAAAGTGCTAGTTAATATTAATACACGTTTAATAATATTATTCATACTTTCAACACGAGAGGTAGTTTGAATTCCCACAGTGAATATTTTTGACATAAATGCACGAGCCTATGCTCATCTACTGGGATATAGGGCTCTCATTAAGTAATCTTTAGCATGGATATATTTTTTAGTAAGTTGTGTCCATCTTTTATAAAAAAGTTCTTCATATAAACTGTTACGGCACAAAAAAAAATCATGAACAAAACTATTATACTGGTCATGAAGCTTAGACTTGAGGTTTTTCGGTAAGTTTTCATTAATGTAAAAAATACAGTGAATTTGGTACGTAATTTTGTATATTTGTTCAATTGCTACATTTTCAGCAGGGTCAGCATCCGTTACAAATACTAACGGTTCAGGTAAAGTAGCATTTTTTGTACACTCCAAAATCCATTTATATGACTCTGTTGTTTCATCAGAAATAAGTGCTTGTGCAACAAGACATGACCTAGTGTTGTTATCTACAACAATAAAAAGTGAAAGTGGCATCTAATAACAGTTGGTTTTGGCAGTATTATCATTTAAAATGACATTATGATATTCTGTCCAAAAAGCAATCTGTGTTGGGGACATCCAGAAAAGACAGGTAAGTCTATTTTTATAATCAAGTTCGAATTCAACCACCCATGTAGGATCAAGTGATTTCTTTTCAATTAGTATTGTGAGCAAACAAGATGTATCTATATTTTCATCCTTTTTACCTTAAATCTTTGAATTGTATTTGTAAAATCGCGTTCCAAAATAGATTCGTTTGGAAACTTTGCTTTCAACAGTTTTTTTTGAGTTCCCATTGGTAAGTTGCCATGCTTGGTGAAAAATTGAATTTCATCAAGAACTTTTTGTAAAATATCTCGATATACTAGAGCAAAAGTCACTGTATTAGAACGTAATTCATGATTGTGTATGTTATTGAATATTGTAATTGTTATACGTAGGGTATTTTTTAGACAATTAATGTTAATGTGCCATTCACATTCTTGACGTTTCAACTTGCGGTTTTGGTGTTTATCAACATCAACTTGTTTTTTTGGCTTATAACAGCCTCCAAATTCACATCCAAAACTACAAAGTTTGATACTACCATCTTGATATCATTCCAACCTCTTTTTAATAATTCCAAATCTCTGTTGTTTACCATAAATTCCCATAATTGTGTCTATATCTTCCCATGATGTGAAAGAATAACCGACAAAAAGATCTACAGTTTTGTTAAGTACATTTGTATCTAGTTAAAAAAATAAAACAATGTAAGAAATAATCTATCATTTACACAATTTAACACATTTACTTTTAAATTTTTGAGACGCTAGTTACTAGATATTTCTTGATTACTCTCAAATTTGTGTGAAGCATCCAGTATCAATTCAACATTATCTTCGTAATCATTATCACTTTGAATCTCTTCAATGTTCTGTGTAGTAAACATATTAGGCATCTCTAAAAAAGAAAAAAAATTTTTAACATGTTTTTTTATTTATTAATTTTTTTTTTATGACTATAACAAATACTCTGAAGTTCTGTATTCATATCTAGACTGTTTATTGACAAAGTTTCTTATTGCTTTATTTTGTTGAATCGCTTTCTTGAACTAGAGATGAAATACAAAAAAAAACCTGAGTACAAGCTCAAAGGTACGTCTTTTTTGGCATGCTTTTCATTAAGCTTTTCACTAAGCTTTTTATTAAGCTTTCACTTTAACTAATTACATTTATTCATTTTAACTTGGTCACGAGATACTTTTCAGAATAAGGACTTTTAGTAAGACTTTTATTATCGTTATTAGTGAAAAAAAAAAAAAAAAATTGGCAATATGATTGATCACTCTAGGTATAATTATTACATCATGTCTTGTATTGCAGTAAACAACTATTTGTATATAATATGCACTATGTCATAGATACGTAGCTTTCTAGAATTACTGACATTAATTAATTGGATGATGCCGATACACATTTCATCATTTATTATCAGAATTTTAAATGAACCTGGTTAGTTTTTATTTTGGGAAGTACTCTTAAGGATCAGATCAGTTTTCAATTTGCCAATTTGTACTTTTGTGTACCTAGGGACATGAAAAGTCTGGTTCAGTTCCCAACTCAACTTCAAATCAAATTTGGGACTTCAACTCGTGCATCAAATACATTACGAAAAGTATACAAGTATGCATCTAAATATACTAGATGTAAGTGCTGATGCAAATTGAAGTTTCAAGTCTGACTTGGAGTCGTGTTGAGACTAAACTGGACTTTTACATCTCTACCTACAACATTTTATCCAATAAACAATTAACAATGTCACGTGATTTCTGATGCTATTACAATAAGAGTGTAACAGGCTGCTACAAATAGATTTATCCTATTTTTAATTATATTAAAATAATGTTTTAAAAACATTTTTAATAAGCTTATTTTATTTTGTTTTTAAAATATAATA